GCCACGTCGCTTTGGTTTTTAGGCTTTTAAAAGTATTGCCCGTGGGATTCCGTTGTCTAATGTGTTTACATAAAATCAATTTGAAACACTGCTATTTATGTTCTGTTTTTTTTTGTTAACAATGTTTCGTAACTATGTTTCGGAAACCTGCCCTTTGGCGTAGGGAAATTGGCTTGCTTAAAATGAGATGTTTTTGTCTTTCCAGTTTTAGCTTGCTGTTTACTACTTAGATTAAATTAAATCATGTCATGGTCTGTTGTCCAGAATGTGCTTTAAACAAACATTAGTGATCAACTCTGCATTGTTTGAAGTTAAAGGAGAACTACGGGGTCAGTACTTTTCCCCATAGTTCTTCCCAGGGTCACGGGAGGACACAAACCAGCGTCCTACCGCCACTCAAAGCTCAGTATACCGCGAGCTACAGCTCTCTTTATACTGAGACGCCGCAGCCGGAACGGATCCTGAAAATGCTGTCTGGATCCACCCAGCTGCATGAGTGACAGCTGGCTCTGCCTATCTAGAGGCAGAGCCAGCTGTACCCGCCCCCTCCCCACGTCCGTTCCGTCAGCCAGAGCTGGAGCATCTGACAGGGGAGGGGGGGGGGCAGAATCCCTGCAGGGAGCCGTGAGTAACAGTCACGGCTCTCTGCAGGGATAGATCGAGAAGTGAGCGAGCGACTGTATGTGTTCTCTCACTTCCCGATCTACTGAGTCGACCTGTGACAGTTTCATTGTCACACGTCGGCTCCAACTATGGGGAGGAGGGAAAATCACTCACCTCATAGTTCTCCTTCAAAGGAGAACTATGAGTGAAATGCACTAATTCCCATAGTTAGAGCTGACATGTGACACTGCAGTTGCTTGAGAACTGATCGATCACAAACCGCTGAGTTCACGATCTTCTCCCTGTAGACTCAGTGTCAGTCACCGGACCTCACAGGGATTACCCCCTCTCCTCTCCATTCCTCCAGTGCTGACTGAAGGGACAGACATGTGAAGGGGCGGGCACAGCTGGCTCTGGCTCTAGAGAGGCAGTGAGGTGGATCCTGACAATATTGTCAGGATCCTTCCCGGCCGTATTGGGGTTCTGTGCTGTCAGCATATAACGTGCAATAGCCTACTATATGCTGAGTTTTTTGGGTCACAGGAGAACATTGGTAAATGTCCTCCTGTGACTCTAAAGAGAACTACGGCCAAAAAAAGGTTTGGCCATAGTTCTCTTTTAACAAATCCAACAACATAATTTATATATGAGTCTTCTATTAACATAGTATGTAAGGTTGAATAAAGACCAAGGTTCAACCTATGAATTAAGTACCCCATGAAATTACACCCACGATTGCCATTTTAAAATGTTTTGCCCTACTGTCATTACACCAATCAGTCCAAGGGTTATACAAATCTTACATTATTATCATGTCCTAAGTCTGCCCAGACTTTTTTTTTTTCTTTGGGCAGGGCGTTGAGTCTCTTCCTATTAAAATTTGAGGGTTTGTAACATAGTCTAGTAATTAACTGTAGCTTATCTTAACCCATATGTAATTCAACCCCAAATACCTAAGCACCATCCCACCAAAAAGATCATCATTCATACTGTTTTTAGATCACTTTTCCATAGAGACCAGTGCCACCACCTTTTCTATTTACCCTATACCTTATCACAGGCCTATACCTCATTGGCCTTCCACTACACAGGCTATCCCCCCTTCAGTCTATCATGAATGCAGCTGCTAGACTCATCCACCAACCTCTCAGTGTCTGCAACCCCCCTCTGCCAATCCCTCCACTGGCTTCCACTCGCTAAAGGATAAAATTAAAAATATTACCAATCACTTACGAAGCCATCCACAACTCCGCCCCCCGATATATCTCAAAAAGCTCAAAAGAAGCAAAATATAATTAAAACACATTTACAAGTTAGACCAAAATGTATTCTATAAGGGAGTGTCATACTCTCCTATGTACATGCAGAAGGGGGATGAACACTTAGGCCCCATTCACACCTGACCGTTTTGTAGCGCGTCCTACGCTCGATGAACGCTCTACAAAACGGTCAAAAAAATAAATAGCATTGTAGTCAATGGTATCGTTCCCACCTGTCCGTATTTCCGCCCGTCCCGAACGCACTACAAAACAGCCCACGCATGAAAAGGTCCCGGAGCGTTTTTTGCTGCGTATTGGTCCATTTTGTAGGGCGTTTTCCATTTGTATACTGCCAAGTAGCCTTTGGAATCGCGCGACGGTCGCGCGACTTTTTTACCGCGAATCGCGGTAAAAAAACCGCGAGATGGTCGCGCGACAGACGCGCATATTACAATACGCATAGGTGTGAATGGGGCCTAAAAGGACAGGAGACCCGTTTTTTCTTTGCTGCAATTTCCTAATACTTACAGGTCTTATCCCTCCCCTCTGCCTGTGACTAGACAATCAAAGGAGAAGCAGAAGACTGATGAGCTATTCTCTCTGTCAACCTGCTTTCTCCTGCTATCAGCATGTTCCTAGGTAGCACATTGGCTCCTTGTGCTGACACTGCTCTCTGAGCTCTATTGTTCATGGTTTGCGAAAGGCTGATACCAGGTTAAAGGAGAACTATGAGGGGGAGGGGGGGTGCTTTTCACTCACCTCATAGTTCTAGCCGACCTGTGACAATGAGACTGTCACAGGTCTGCTCAGTAGATCGGGAGGTGAGCGAACACATACCGGCGTTCGCTCACCTCTCGATCCTGTCACGGCTCTCTGCCGTGACAGGGGAGGGGCTGGATTCCCCCCTCCCCGCTCCGATCCGCCAGCGCTGACTGGCGGAACGGACGGGGGAGGGGGCGGGTACAGCTGGCTCTGCCTCTAGATAGGCAGAGCCAGCTGTCAGTCACGCAGCTGGGCGGATCTCGACATCGATGTCGGGGATCCGCTCCGGCTGCGGCGTCTCAGTATACCGCGAGCTGTAGCTCCCTATATACAGAGCTTAGGGTAATGGGAGGATGCTAGGTTACCCTAAGGAGAACTATGGGGAAAAGCCCTGACCCCATAGTTCTCCTTTAAATTCAAGTACTTATGATGCTTGCAAAAAAAACCAAAAACAATATAAAAAGAATATACAGTTGCGTTAATTTGCGTCTTTTATATCTGCCTGGAGTTCAGCCTTTAAAGAATATTTTAAGCAAATTGGGATGTAAAAAAGAAAAAAGAATCACAGTGTTGCGCAGAGTACATTGAAATAAAGGATAAATTGCTTTTGCATGCAAACTCCCATTGCCAAGTAACCAACAGGAGAATATTAATCATTTTGACACAGTCTATTGCTTTCCATAGCAGAAAGCCTGAATAGGAGTCATGTGATCCTAGCACCGCTCTATGCCAGGATAATCACTTAAAATGGCCACATCCAGAGTTAATTTGGTATTACATTGTAACATTAATCCAGACAAAAAACAGACTTGGCCAGAAACATGCTCATTTTTCCGGTTGCTGAACCATATATAAATCCAGGTATTGTTCCTGGTGACAGGTTCTCTTTAATACGTACCTGTCTTGTTGAAAGTACGGGGATTGATATTTTCTTTTTTTTTCTCTAAATACTGGTTATTAAGTAATTTAGTAGCTGTAGGGTCACATTCAACTGGACTTGATCTGTAAGCAGGGGGCCTAACTACAGACCATGGGGCCCCATATCCTGACGACCTCTCTCTGAGCTGTGATTAAGGACACATAGATTTCAGAGACTCCTTATTTACATCTGACATCAACTTGCACTGTAGACTTTACAGAGCATTAGGGTTGTCATCAACCACTCCACAAGGGGTTATTCACTAAGGCAGCCGAGTGAATAATCGAGCCAAAGTGAAGCGAGCCGAACGCCGCTCAGCTATTCACGTCGGCCGTACATCAGCTAAAATCAGCCGTATATCGGCTGGCTTCGGTTCAGCCGAACTTGCCCATCATGCCCGGGGTAGCCGAAGTGAAGAAGCTGTACCACTCAGTCGATCCAACATCTGGATCAGCTGAGCCGAACCTCCGGCAGTTCACTCGCTGCCGTTCGCCCCCTATTCTCATATGGGGCGAACGGCAGTGAGTGAATAGCCGAATGTCGCCGAAAAAAAAATTATATGTAAATAAAAGAAGAAATAAAAAGTGTGGGGCCCCCCTCCCAACCCATACTAGATCCTTTAGGTCTAGTAAGAATTTTAAAAAGGAATCTCACCCCCAAAAATTAGGGGGAAAAAACGTAGGGTCCCCCCCTAAAATTCCTAACCAGACCCTTAATCCGAGCACAGGCCTGACCGGGCAGGAAAAGGGGGGGATTAGAGAGCGCCCTTCACTAAAGGATTAAAAGAAATAGTAAATAAAGAACCCACACTTTCGTAAAAAAACCATTAGTTGAAAAAAGAAAGAATAAACAGTCCCCCCAAAAAAAGGTCAATCACCACGTCCAGCATTGTCCACGACGATGACGACTTGGCAATTTTTTTTAAAAAAAGCCGACCTGTCCACACCCGACGAACTCCTGCCGCAAAATAACCTGTTTGACAGGCACCAGCAAAAAGTAAACACATGGGCGGAGCTAGCGGTGGTATCACCACGGGCTCCGCCCCTTGGTTTTGCTTTGGCCGGGAACCTGTCACATGGGTTGGCCAAATCAAAACAAATAGGCTCCACTTAGTTGTTGTCATTCAGTGACATCCCAGGGTCCATCAAACGAGGACGTTGGGCAGTAACTGAATGACAACAACTACCCAGTTGTTTACGTTTTCAGGGAGAACGGTTGCCCCTGAAACGCGTCAATCGTGGCTGACTGTGGCTGGTGGACGGTGATGTGAGCGGAGGCTACCGTGTTACATAGTCGGGGCGATACCATGTTGGGTTAACAGAGACAGTGTGGCCTCTTGTTTGTTGTTGAAGCGTGATGATAACGTTTGCTTGTGAGTACATTTATCCCTTGTTTTATTTATCTTGGTAAACGATTTTACACACGGAGGTGGCGCTCTGTTCCCTTTTGTTTTCTAGGTCCACATACAGCTTGGGGCAAGGTGTATGGCTGCCTGTCAGCAAAAGCTTTGTGGTCCCTCCGATGGAGCTGTCTATCAGTCCACTGGCCAGCTGCAAAACAGATGTCCTGGTCACGGAAGATCCTGGTGATGTCCGGTAAGAATAAATATGGGCCGACCCATTACTTAACTGATACGATTCAACTGCATGGGAAGGCTTTGTTTTCACATTTCTATAATGATGTCGCATTAGTGATTTTGGATCTAGGAGGAGGGACATGCTAACTCTTAATGGATGAATGAAAAACAAAAACAAAGGAGTTTTTTAATTTTTTTTAGCACAGTGTCACGTGGTTCACGATACTGGGAATAGCGTTTTCACTATTTTTTTTCGGCACAGCAGCTTATTGTACATTCACAAACATTTTATTTCCGGGTTGTGGGTTCAGTAACCATCACTTCTAAACCATCTCTTCTAAACTGTGTATGCAGCTCCTTCCCAACAGATACTTTGCCCCTTTGTATTGCAAAAAGGCTGTATTTTTTAATTAAAATCTACATACAAAGCCATCCACAACTCCGCCCCCCGGCTATATCTCAAACCTCGTATCAAAGTATCACCCTAACCGTCCCCTCCGCTCTTCCAAAGACCTCCTGCTCTCCAGTAGTGATGGGCTGCATGTTCGACTCGAACATAGCCTGTTCTAGCGGTCGCTGAACGCCGAACATTGCGTGATGTTTGCGGTCTGTTAGACTTCTGTATATAGACTGCTGTATATATTAGAGTTCTATATAAATATAAATATCAATAAAATGTATATAAATATCATTTTTGCTTCAGCAGGTTCTATACATCATACAGAAGCGCCACTTTACGGTCAATGAAAGGGGACCCCCCAGGCACCATATATAAAGGAATTTTTCATTTTTAATGTTTCATTTTAAGTGATGTTAAATCACTGCTCCTTTAAAAATTGTATTTTTTAAATGTTTTTTTTTCATTGATACATGTCCCCCAGGGCAGTACCCGGATCCCCATACACTTTTTATGGCCAATAAATTGCATATAAGGCTTAAAAATGGGGACATTTAATTTTCTGAGTTCTACCCCCATAGACTTGCATTGAGTTCTAAGTTTGAATTATAACTTTTTCCACGCTCGAAAGTTCAAATTAGAACCGAACACGGGTGGTGTTGGGCTCATCCCTACTCTCCAGCTCCCTCGTCAACTCTTCCCATGCTCGCCTACAGGACTTTTCCAGAGACTTTTCTCCCTTCCTCTGGAACCCTTTACCCCAACCTGTCCATCTATCTCCCACTCTGATTGCCTTTAGGCGATCCCTTAAGACTCATCCCACCTCAACCTAACCGCTCAACCATCACGTTCTCAAACAATTCATCCCCACACAGCTACCTCCTCATGCATCACTTCCCCCTCCTTTTTAGATTGTAAGCCCTCAGGGGCAGGGCCCTCCTTACCATCTTGTCTTGAATTGTATTGTGATTGTAATGTCTTCCTTATATGGTAAAGCGCTGCGCAAACTGTTGGCGCTATATAAATCTTGTATAATAATAATAATAATAATTATACAGGTTTATAGGGATAGATGGGCCAGAGGTGACGGACCAGGATTTGGGGTATCAGGGCTACATCTCCGTGGCCTTGCCCATCTGGAACGGGAAGTGCAAGTGTTGGTATACAGTATTTATCTAAGGAGGAGAGCACAACCTCTGTAATGTTACTGTTGGCGCTACATAAATCCTGTATAATAATAATAATAATCAAATATCGTTCCCTTGGGCCCCCGGTGTTTGTTCTTATGCACATTTGTATTTCTTTGTAACTGCATCATCGTAACTGTATCAAAATATACATAATAGAGCATCATGAAAGTTGCTACATGTATCCTTATCAGGCCATAATCAAACCTTCCTCATGTTCCACCTCCACAGCGAGCGATGTCCTTGTGCAAATGTTAATGCTGCGCCCTCAATCTTGTAATAAACATGCTCTGATTCAAAGAGAACAAGTTAGTTGCCTCGGCAAGTTTGTATAAATTATATTAAAGATAGGGAAAGTACAAAAAGAAAAAAGAAGGCAAATATAAAGAGAACACAGAGGTCGAGGCTAGACACGAGAAGCTCTGAAAGCTCGAGCGTTTTCCATTTTCCTCTGATAATTCAACCCGAAGACATCAGATCCGTATATAAGCACACTTCCACCGCTTGAAAGATTCGTTGAACGGGTAAACAAAGAAGAAGTAAACAACAAAGATAGTTTTATTAAAGGAGAACTATGAGGGGGGTGCTTTTCACTCACCTCATAGTTCTAGCCGACCTGTGACAATGAGGCTGTCACAGGTCGGCTCAGTAGATCGGGAGGTGAGCGAACACATACCGGCGTTCGCTCACCTCTCGATCTTGTCACGGCTCTCTGCCGTGACAGGGGAGGGGCTGGATTCCCCCCTCCCCGCTCCGATCCTCCAGCGCTGACTGGTGGAACAGACGGGGGAGGGGGCGGGTACAGCTGACTCTGCCTCTAGATAGGCAGAGCCAGCTGTCACTCACACAGCTGGGCAGATCCAGACATAATTGTCGGGATCCGCTTCAGCTGCGGCGTCTTAGTATACCGCGAGCTACAGCTCCCTGTATACTGAGCCTAGGGTGACGGGAGGATGCTAGTTTGTGTCCTCCCGTTACCCTAAGGAGAACCATTGGGAAAAGCCTTAACCCCATAGTTCTCCTTTAACACCAATGTATTGCAAGAGCGGGTAATATTAGCGAACTACAAAGCATCAGTTGCTATCATTGAGAAGTAGCCCCCTCACACGGCAAAGGAGAATGGCCTTGGACTACAACCACCATTTGTTTAACAAGGAGGTATGCATCCGGACATTGTAAAAAGAATTCATGGATTAGTTTGTAGATAAGAGTATGATTTTTATGTTTACTTTAGTTAAAGCAACTTCGTTAAAGTTCTTTTGGTAGTGGGATTTTGGCACTACCAAAAGAAGGGGGAGGGGTATTGGCAGTAAAGGCTAAAGCCACTGTCGCAACAGCAATCCTGTTGCTGGCAACCTAAAACTTTCCCTCTTACCATTGTGGGAATGGCTAAAACCAATGGGATCTAGAGCTATGTTACAATAGTAATCCTGTCACTGGCAAACCGTTTCCCGTACTATTGTGGTGGTGGTAGGACTACAACCCCAGAGCAGTTGCATCACGACCTTCCTTTCTCTTTACCACTGGCTTGTCAACTTGTATCTTCCTTCCAGTAGTCCCCATCTGTCATTATGGCAGCTTCTGTCTTCTCTACCACTGGCCTTTTAACTCTAGAGACCAAGGACCTCCCATGAACCTTTTGCTCTTGCCATAATGTAGAACTCAACAATATTGCTTCACCGACATACAGAAATGCATTTTCATGGAATGTTGCTGCTACCAAATGAAAGGGGAGTGGTATTGTCAGCAAATGCTAAAGCCAATGGGATCTAGAGCTATGTTACAATAGTAATCCTGTCACTGGCAAACCGTTTCCCGTACTATTGTGGTGGTGGTAGGACTAAAACCCTAGAGCAGTTGCATCACGACCCTCCTTTCTCTTTACCACTGGCCTGTCAACTTGTATCTTCCTTCCAGTAGTCCCCATCTGTCATTATGGCAGCTTCTGTCTTCTCTACCACTGGCCTTTTAACTCTAGAGACCAAGGACCTCCCATGAACCTTTTGCTTCTGCCATTTTGTAGAACTCAACAAAATTGCTTCACCAACCTACAGAAGTGCATGTTCATGGAATTTTGCCGCTACCAAATGAAAGGGGAGTTCTCCTTGGTTAGGTGCTCAAACACACCATTACACTTGCATCATGTCACAAGCCAGGCTTAGTCGTGGACCCTCTATGTCTCTAGAGGGCAGTGTAGACGAGGAACCAATACAGTCTTCACCAGGGCACTCTGCACGGTACATTGGTCTTGTGCTGTGGACTTAAAAAAAGCAGTTAACCCTAGGCTCACCCCCACTGGAAATGACTGACAGCAAGCACAACCGAAGACAATTGTCAGGCAGACGTAACCAGGAAATTATTAATCAGGGTAGCAGTTATATGGAGAGGGGATATCAGGAGCAGGGTACTGGGCTCAGTATGCAGGGGCAAGGTACTGAACACCATCCACATGATGTAAAAGAAAATGTGATTCATCAGACCAGGCCACCTTCTTCCATTGCTCCATGGTCCAGTTCTGATGCTCACATGCCCATTGTAGGTGCTTTTGTCAGTGGGCATGGGTCAGCAAGGGCACCCTGACCAGTCTGTGTCTACACAGACCCATACACAACAATCTGTGATGCTCTGTGTGTCCAGACACCTTTCTACCAGAACCAACATTCACTTTTTCAGCAAATTGAGCTCCAGTAGCTCTTCTATTGGATCGAACTACACGGACCAGCCTGCGCTCCCCACATGCATTATTGAGCCTTGGCCGCCCATGACCCTGCTGCCAGCTCACCGGTTTTCCTTCCTTGGACCACTTTTGGTCGGTCCTAACCACCGCACAGCGGGGACATCCCACAAGAGCTGCAGTTTTTAGAGTTGCTCTGACCCAGGAGCAACTCTATTGTCGTCTAGCCATTACAATTTGGCCTTTGTTGGAGTCGCTAAAATCTTTATCAAACAATTATTTTACGTCAAGAGATTGTAAAAACTGAGTCTAAATAGTTTTTTGTTCCAGTAGTTATATTTAATGACAACGTATTCAAACACTGGCATTCATTTGTCTGCAGTATAACTGTGATGTAGATGAGGAAAAGGCTAACAAATTATTAATGATAATATTTAATATCATAACTGGAATGAATAAAAGAAGGAGGTCAAGCAATGGTAACCTCCATATTTTCTCACCACAAGGTTTTGTTAATGAACCTGTCAAGCTGTGTAAATTATTTCTAGCATGTTGTAAATTTAATTTGGCAGGTACTGATGTAACCTTACCTTTGAAATATTGCACAGTGACAGCGTATTTATTGAACGTTTATTAAAAAAATAAAATTAATGCGCAGTAATTCTTTCTGTTGTTTTGAAAAGAACAGTTGAGACATCACCACTGGAGCCAAGGTCTACGGCAATTTTAATTGCATGCCACTGTGTGATTTAAAGAGGAACGTCACCCTTATGTTTGAAATGACATCAAATACAATTTTAGAAATGTTTAGTAATGACAATCTACAAACAGATACTTCTAGATAATTGAAAGCTTTTTATTCTTTGCATTCCTTTTTTTTTCCCCCTCCCTTATCTTCTCACAGTGGCCATTTTTTTTACTAAGGGCAGATTAATCCATCTCCCTTTACTTCCTGGAACTCTGGCACATGTGACTAAGACATGTGACCATGCACAGAGGAGTAACTAGTGACCTCAGGGCCCCGGTGCAAGAATCCATGAAGCCCCCCCAAGAAAAAGATTACTTTAAATAATAAAAAAAAAATTTAGACAAAAAAAAATCAAAACAAACCACCTCCTCTTCCATGGCCCCAGCTTCCCCCCTTCTCGTCCCCAGCTTTCAGCTCCCTGACCCCACACTCTCCTCTCACATGTCCCCTTCATAATCTCAGCTCCCTATAACTCCCTCTTCGTGTCAGCAGCACGCCTCTGACACGCAGGGAGTGGGAGCTTTCCATAGAACACAGGCAGTTCTACGGTCAGCAGCCAGTTCTGTGTGATGAGGGGGCCGCTTCCCACTCATTGGCTGCTGCGCCGGCTTGGTCATTCTTCACGCTGCGCCCGGAACAAGGTGAGGGGAGCAGCGCGAAGCATGCAGGGCCCAGGACAGGAGGAAGAGGTCCCGAAACTGATATTAGCGGTTACCGGGATATTAAATATCCTGGTAATCAGCGCAGGGCAGCCATCAGGAGGGTACGGCCGATACTCATGTAAGGGGCCCTGGCAGCCTGGGCGGCCTGCCCGGGTCCCTTATATGACTATTGGCCGACGGTGAAGGGCGAGGAGGTGGAGGCCTGGCCCTAGCAGCACAGGGCCCCAGCATTGCCGCTCCAGCGGCTTTGAGACAAGCTAGGGCCCCATCAGCGACGCTGCTCGTCTGATGTCGGACTGGCCGGAAGTGACGTCACTTCTGGCCGGTCTGGCGGCAGACGAGGCCATGTGTGCAGGTAAGAGGAGCTAGGAAGGAAGGAAGGAAAGGAGGGAGGGGAGGGATGCAGCCCTGACCAGCCCACCAGAGACCCCTTCAGAGCCCACCATATTGACCAGCCCACCTGAGACCCCTTCAGAGCCCACCATAGACAGTCTCAGATGGGCTGTGCAGCATCTATGGTGGGCTCTGCAGGGTCACTCTCAGGTGGGTCCTGTGCCCAGCGCGTCACTAAGCCCTGCGTCCAGCGCGTCACTAAGCCCTGCGTCCAGCGCGTCACTAAGCCCTGCGTCCAGCGCGTCACTAAGCCCTGCGT